TCTTTCCCTCTCTCTCTCTCTCTCTCTCTCTCTCTCTCTCTCTCTCTCTCTCTCTCTCTCTCTCTCTCTCTCTCTTTCTCTTCTCTTGTAAAACATATCAACGCAGCATTATGCAAATAATCTTGCCTGTGTATTTTTCAGCACTGCTAATCTTGATATAATCTTTATTTTTACGTTTCTGTATTTGATTATAATTATTTTTATTATGTTCTAGTTTAGAGTTTACAACTACTGAGTTATGTAATAATATTTCTGATAATTGTTCTCCTTCCCCATTCTAAGAATGTGATAACTGAGCTTTGTAATGATATTGGCAATAACATATGTATGTGTGTTCTTCAATGTGTAACAGTCTGGGACAACACTGACTGTTAATGTGGCTGCTACATTGCCTGTGGAAAAACTGTTCTATAAGGTAAGATGGCCACAAGTGGACATAGGTGGTGGACATACACTTGTTACCACCACTTGTCTCTGATCTATCAATCTGTGTTTTATTTTATGGTCTCTGAACATCTTGCTCTTGTAGCACATATCTGTGCTAGGACACCCTGCAATTGTAGCACATATCTGTGCTAGGACACCCTGCAATTGTAGCACATATCTGTGCTAGGACACCCTGCAATTGTAGCACATATCTGTGCTAGGACACCCTGCAATTGTAGCACATATCTGTGCTAGGACACCTTGCTGTTGTAGAATATCTCTGTGCTCGGACATCTTCCTGTTAAAGAATATCTCTGTGCTCGGATATCTTGCTGTTGTAGAATATCTCTGTGCTCGGACATCTTCCTGTTGTAGAATATCTCTGTGTTCGGACATCTTCCTGTTGTAGAATATCTCTGTGCTCGGACATCTTCCTGTTGTAGAATATCTCTGTGCTCGGACATCTTCCTGTTGTAGAATATCTCTGTGTTCGGACATCTTCCTGTTGTAGAATATCTCTGTGTTCGGACATCTTCCTGTTGTAGAATATCTCTGTGCTCGGACATCTTCCTGTTGTAGAATATCTCTGTGCTCGGACATCTTCCTGTTGTAGAATATCTCTGTGTTCAGACATCTTCCTGTTGTAGAATATCTCTGTGTTCAGACATCTTCCTGTTGTAGAATATCTCTGTGCTCGGACATCTTCCTGTTGTAGAATATCTCTGTGTTCGGACATCTTCCTGTTGTAGAATATCTCTGTGCTCTGACATCTTCCTGTTATAGAATATCTCTGTGTTCGGACATCTTCCTGTTGTAGAATATCTCTGTGCTCAGACATCTTGCTACGGTAGATCATCTGTGTATTAGGTAGAATTCTCTGTGCTCGGACAGCCTGCTGTTGCAGAACATCTCTGTGCTCGAACAGCTTGCTGTTGTAGAACATCACTGTCCCAGGACATCTTGCTGTTTTAGGATGTTGTCTCTGGTAGAACTTGTTTGACAGAAATAATTATACTAAATAAAATTGTAGTCTGCCTCTAGGTTGCCTGACAGAAAAGTATATATTATGTATATGTAGTATATCTACATTTGCTGATGAAAAGGGAAATTGCAGTTTCAAATTTGAATTACATGAAATTTGAATGCTGTAGTTGGAACTGTAAATCTGGAGAGGACTTTGAATGCTTTCTAGATCTGATAGGCCAAGCTGTTTATAAAACATCGTCTGGTGCTTGGCAGCAGTACAGACAAATGGCCGTTAACTCTTTTAGGCCTAGGGGTTGGCATCAAAGACTCCATGGGTCATAAAGATAAACATAGAATTGATGCATTTTGCTTTCGCTGGGCTTCTAGGTAGGAACCTGTGAGTGTATGATGTGTTCCCAGGGACTGAAAGAGTTAAATCCTCTTGTCATTACCAGCTTAATGGTTAGCAGCACCTGAGTTCTAGATTATTTTTAGGTTTCATATAGATACTCTATCGACTGAACGGCATGCACATTCTTTATTTATTTATGTATCTATTTATTTTAATGTTTGTTCCATGCATATTTGTATTTCCAAATCACGGAAACCCTGTTAAATTGTACAAACATACATATTACTAATGTTGTATCTATATATATATATATATATATATATATATATATATATATATATATATATATATATATATATATATATATATATATATATATATATATATATATATATATATATATACACTATAAAACAGAAAATACATATTTCTGTATGTCAGAAGAACTCCTTAAATAGTGATCAGTAGTGATGTGACATTTTGCACATGTCTTTTTGGTTGCCATTTCTAGCTCAGCTGTGATATTTTCAACAAGATTTATATATCCTGCTGCAAACTAATGCCACAGTTATTAATCATTAACATCAACTAGATTTATTTTCCTTGGCTAACTATATATATTTGCATCCCTTGAATATGCAATTAAGCTACCATTGATGTGGTATTTCTTATCCACTGGCCTTGTTCATTGAGCAAGGTAACTAAAGAATTCATAGAGTGGAAAGCACCAGGGTAGGTGTTTCTATACTCAAAAAACAAATAATGATAAGCGATTTCTATATATCATTTATCATAGCTGATGATCAACAAGGGACTAAAAATGTTTTATAAACTAAAATATTGTAGTAAATAGGTTATAATAGAATGAATAAAATGAATTTTAATGAAAAGTTTGAACCTGTCTTGTGTGACGCTGGATTATAGAGCTGGTTTAGTTCTAAAACTAAGGGAGTGAATTCATTCTCTGTGTGAGTTCGTTTGAAATGAAAAGAAAGAAAGTGTATTGATATAACTGCTTGTGATGTTTTATTTTGTAACTAATTTATTGAATAAACTGTACTTGCAGGTGTATTCCAGAAGCAGTTTGGTAGTTTCAGGAGTTGTGGATGGAAATAACAGGACATCTTTCACCTTTGAACTCAGTGTAAACTCAGAATTTGCTCCGAATAGCCATCTTTTGGCCTTTATTTTACTAGGGACACAGGAAATTATTGCAGACAGCCTGTCCTTCCAGGTAGAGGGCCTCTTTAACAATGAGGTAAATACATTCTTCAGCGATAGTATATGTGTATCATTATTTTATGTTTTCAAAAGTTGCTATTGCTTTTTTTAGAAGACAAAAATTAAAAGGATCGATGCATTCAACAGGCTACTAGCAGCAAAGCTGACAGCAGCATTCAGTTATATTTGTGATCTGGTCTATTTGTGCCAAGTGTATAAGCTGAGATTGGAGAATTTATGGCTCCCGGGTCACTCTTGGCAAAGTGGAGTTTTCCTGTTAGAGGCAAAATTAAACATCCTAACCTGCACAGCCATAGCAACAGCACTAGCCATGCAGCCTACAATCCCCAGGCTCTCGATCCCCCTGTCTACACTGCCTTAACAAGTGGTGAATAAAGACATTAGTAACAGTGACAGATCAAGTTCCTCCTCCCTGTAACACAAAGCCTGGGCAGTATAGTACTGACCATGTGGCCTACAATCCCCAGGCTCTCGATCCCCCTGTCTACACTGCCTTAACAAGTGGTGAATAAAGACATTAGTAACAGTGACAGATCAAGTTCCTCCTCCCTGTAACACAAAGCTTGGGCAGTATTGTACTGACCATGTGTTACCCATGCAGTATAATCCCTCCTTTGACCTGATTTTCATACTTCTATGGAAAAGGTGTCGGCTCTATGGCTAAGTCGATGCAAACTCTTCGTAATGCCGGGATGCCGGGTTCGATTTCAGCTGCGGGCCATGGGCCTTGGGTTGGTTTGGACAGTGGTATCAAGAAAACCGACCGCCCAGAAAGCAATGACAAACCACTGGACGTAAATTTGTCTAGAAAAAACACACAACAGCCAGGTGCTGTTGGGGTTGGTTCTGCAACGTCCTGTAAAGGATACGCAACTAACCTTATAGAAAAGATTATGCCAGTATGTCTGAAACACAGTGTGCTGCAGAGGCTGCTCTGTATGTCAACCAGTTAAAGCTAAGGACCCGACCTATCCTTCCATAACAATAAGTTTTGAGACTGAAGATTCTCATCTTTATCATCATCATCCTGTAAGACTACGTGTCGTTGGGTCACCAGTTTTTGTTGACTGTCTGATCAGCTCTCTCCACATTTGGCGGTCAGGTGCGATGGACTTCACGGTTGCATTCCTGAGGCCTGTCTAGTCAGTCAGGTTATGTAACCAGGTCTTTCTTGGTCTGCCACTTCTCTTTCCCTCAACTGAGCCCTGCAGTATTGTTTTTGAGAGGCCGTTAGATCTTACTATATGTCCATACCATTGCATTTTTACCTTTTCACTGTAGTTAAAAGAAGTTTATAATTGCCAATGTTATCATCTCATCTTTCACATTACAGCTATACTTGACACATACTTTCACCATTGTTAAGTATTCTTTCTATCACAAATTCATTCAGTCAGTCGCATGTCCTTTGCAAAACCTAACAGCCCTCCAGACAACTTCTCAATCACAAGCAAGTCCCCCCCCCCCCCCCCCCCCCCTCCCCCCCCGTCCGATATACCCATCTGGAGATCATTCCCCACAACCTGCACCCATCTTCTCATTGGCCTTTCTCTTCTTCTCTCACCTGGCATGTACCCCTCCACTATTGTTCTCTCTAAACATTCGTGACATTTTAAGTGACCAAAATATTTTAATTTTCTGTGTTTGATGTCTTTAATAGCCAATCTTCTTCAATATTCAGTTCTTGAAGTATAGGTGCATTTGTTCTTTTCTTAACCCACAATACTTCTGGAACCTATCACGTGTTCACTTTGTTAAACTATATGTTGCTCCACAGGTGACAGTTTCATTCAATAAAAATCAGACAGAACCAAACACGGAGATCATTCTACAAGGCACAGCCAAACCAGGTTCTACGATATTTTTTTTAGCTGTTGACCAAAGTGTGTTGTTGCTGAAAACTGGCAATGATATTACACCTGAGAAGGTGAGTTTAGCATGTTTGCCATCTATAGACTCACAAACTTGTTGAAGGGTGGGCATTGCAGGACATACCTTTGTGAAGATACATGTAGAAAAGCAGTGTAGACTTGTGGTAATGCAGATGTAGTGAAGCTGGTAAACTTGTGAACATGTAGATGTACTGGAGCAGGTAGACTTGTGGAAATGTAAATGTACTGGAGCAGGTAGACTTGTGGGAATTTAAATGTACTGGAGCAGGGAGACTTGTGGTAATGTAGATGTAGTGGAGCTGGTTAACTTGGGAAAATATAGATGCACTTGAGCAGGTATACTTGTGGGAATGTAGATGTACTGGAGCTGTGCAGACTTGTGGGAATGTAGATGTACTGGAGCAGGTAGACTTGTAGGAATGTAAATGTACTGGAGCAGGTAGACTTGCGGTAATGTAGATGTAGTGGAGCTGGTTAACTTGGAAAAGTGTAGATGCACTCGAGCAGGTAGACTTGTGGGAATGTAGATGTACTGGAGCAGTGCGGACTTGTTGGAATGTAGATGTACTGGAGCAGTGTAGACTTGTGGGAATGTAGATGGACTGTAGCAGTGTAGACTTGTGGGAATGTAGATGTACTGGAGCAGTGTAGACTTGTGGGAATGTAGATGTACTGTAGCAGTGTAGACTTGTGGGAATGTAGATGTACTGGAGCAGTGTAGACTTGTGGAAATGTAGATTTACTGGAGCTAGAAGACTTGTGGGAATGTAGATTTACTTGATCAGTGTAGACTTGTGGGAATGTAGATGTACTGGAGCTGGTAGACTTGTGGGAATGTAGATGTACTGGAGCAGTGTAGACTTGTGGGAATGTAGATTTACTGGAGCAGTGTAGACTTGTGGGAATGTAGATTTACTGGAGCAGGTAGACTTGTGGGAATGTAGATTTACTAGAGCAGTGCAGACTTGTGGGAATGTAGATGTACCGTAGCAGTGTAGACTTGTTGGAATGTAGATGTACTGGAGCAGGTAGACTTGTGGGAATGTAGATGTACCGTAGCAGTGTAGACTTGTGGGAATGTAGATGTACCATAGCAGTGTAGACTTGTGGGAATGTAGATGTACTGGAGCATTGTAGACTTGTGGGAATGTAGATGTACTGGAGCAGTGTAGACTTGTGGGAATTTAGATGAACTGGAGCAGGTAGACTTGTGGGAATGTAAATGTACTGGAGCAGGTAGACTTGTGGTAATGTAGATGTAGTGGAGCAGGTAAACTTGTGGGAATGTAGATGTACTGGAGCAGATAGACTTGTAGATTTACTAGAGCAGTGCAGACTTGTGGGAATGTAGATGTACGATAGCAGTGTAGACTTGTGGGAATGTAGATTTACTGGAGCAGTGCAGACTTGTGGGAATGTAGATGTACTGTAGCAATGTAGACTTGTGGGAATGTAAATGTACTGGAGCAGGTTAACTTGTGAAAATGTAGATGTACTGGAGCAGGTAGACTTGTGGGAATGTAAATGTACTGGAGCAGGTAGACTTGTGGTAATGTAGATGTAGTGGAGCTGGTAAACTTGTGAAAATGTAGATGCACTAGAGCAGGAAGACTTGTGGGAATGTAGATGTACTGGAGCAGTGCAGACTTGTGGGAATGTAGATGTACCGTAGCAGTGTAGACTTGTGGGAATGTAGATGTACTGTAGCAGTGTAGACTTGTGGGAATGTAGATTTACTGGGGCAGTGCAGACTTGTGGGAATGTAAATGTACTGTAGCAGTGTAGACTTGTGGGAATGTAGATGTACTGTAGCAGGTAGATTTTTGGGAATGTAGATTTACCGTAGCAGTGTAGACTTGTGGGAATGTAGATGTACTGGAGCAGTGTAAACTTGTGGGAATGTAGATGTACCGTAGCAGTGCAGTCTTGTCGGAATGTAGATGTACTGGAGCAGTGTAGACTTGTGGGAATGTAGATGTACTGGAGCAGTGTAGACTTGTGGGAATGTAGATGTACTGGAGCGGTGTAGACTTGTGGGAATGTAGATGTAATGGAGCGGTGTAGACTTGTGGGAATGTAGATGTACTGGAGCAGGCTAGACTAAGTGGGAGGGTGGACATACAGTTAGTTGAGTGTTTATTACTAGACTAATTTGAAGATAGACAGACAGATATGTAGGAAAGTAGGTTTCATTGGTGAGATAGATTAGATGAAGGTTAGACAAACTTGGTTGTTATAAGGTTTTTATTGCCATATGTATGTCAGTATCTGGTGTTACTTTTGCCATTTGTATGTTAGCATCTGGTATTACTGTTGCCATATTTGTATTTGTATCCATTGTTATTGTTACTATATGTTTGTCAGTGTCATCACTGATGTATGTATGTCAGTGTCCACTGTTATCATTACATATGTATGTCAGTGTGCAGTGTTATCATTACTATATGTATGTCAGTGCCCAGTGTTATCATTACCATATGTATGTCAGTGTCCAGTGTTATCATTAGTATATGTGTGTCAGTGTCCAGTGTTATCATTACTATATGTGTGTCAGTGTCCAGTGTTATCATTACTATATGTAGGTCAGTGTCCAGTGTTATCATTACTATATGTGTGTCAGTGTCCAGTGTTATCATTACTATATATAGGTCAGTGTCCAGTGTTATCATTACTATATGTGTGTCAGTGTCCAGTGTTATCATTACTATATGTGTGTCAGTGTCCAGTGTTATCATTACTATATGTAGGTCAGTGTCAAGTGTTATCATTACTATATGTGTGTCTGTGTCCAGTGTTATCATTACTATATGTAGGTCAGTGTCCAGTGTTATCATTACTTTATGTAGGTCAGTGTCCAGTGTTATCATTATCAAATGTGTGTCAGTGTCCAGTGTTATCATTACTATATGTGTGTCAGTGTCCAGTGTTATCATTACTATATGTGTATCAGTGTCCAGTGTTATCATTACCATATGTGTTTCAGTGTCCAGTGTTATCATTACTATATGTATGTCTGTCCAGTGTTATCATTACCAAATGTTTGTCAGTATCCAGTGTTATCATTACTATATGTGTGTCAGTGTCCAGTGTTATCATTACTATATGTGTGTCAGTGTCCAGTGTTATCATTACTATATGTGTGTCAGTATCCAGTGTTGTCTTTACTATATGTGTGTCAGTGTCAAGTGTTATCATTACTATATGTGTGTCAGTGTCCAGTGTTATCATTACTATATGTAGGTCAGTGTCCAGTGTTATCATTACCATATGTGTTTCAGTGTCCAGTGTTATCATTACCAAATGTATGTCAGTATCCAGTGTTATCATTACTATATGTATGTCTGTCCAGTGTTATCATTACTATAGGTATGTCTGTCCAGTGTTATCATTACTATATATATGTCTGTCCAGTGTTATCATTACTATATGTATGTCAGTGTCCAGTGTTATCATTACTATATGTAGGTCAGTGTCCAGTGTTATCATTACCATATGTGTTTCAGTGTCCAGTGTTATCATTACCAAATGTATGTCAGTATCCAGTGTTATCATTACTATATGTATGTCTGTCCAGTGTTATCATTACTATAGGTATGTCTGTCCAGTGTTATCATTACTATATATATATGTCTGTCCAGTGTTATCATTACTATATGTCTGTCAGTGTCCAGTGTTATCATTACCATATGTGTGTCAGTGTCCAGTGTTATCATTACCATATGTATATCTGTGTCCAGTGTCATCATTACTATATGTATGTCTGTCCAGTGTTATCATTACTATAGGTATGTCTGTCCAGTGTTATCATTACTATATATATGTCTGTCCAGTGTTATCATTACTATATGTATGTCTGTCCAGTGTTATCATTACTATATGTATGTCAGTGTCCAGTGTTATCATTACCATATGTGTGTCAGTGTCCAGTGTTATCATTACCATATGTATATCAGTGTCCAGTGTTATCATTACTATATGTATGTCTGTCCAGTGTTATCATTACTATATGTATGTCTGTCCAAGTGTTATCATTACTATATGTATGTCTGTCCAGTGTTATCATTACTATATGTATGTCTGTCCAGTGTTATCATTACTATATGTATGTCTGTCCAGTGTTATCATTACTATATGTATGTCTGTCCAGTGTTATCATTACTATATGTATGTCTGTCCACTGTTATGATTACTATATGTATGTCTGTCTACTGTTATCATTACTTTATGTATGTCTGTCCAGTGTTATCATTACTATATGTATGTCTGTCCACTGTTATGATTACTATATGTATGTCCGTCCACTGTTATCATTACTATATGTATGTCTGCCCAGTGTTATCATTACTATGTGTATGTCTGTCCAGTATTATCATTACTTTATGTATGTCTGTCCAGTGTTATCATTACTATATGTATGTCTGTCCAGTGTTATCATTACCATATGTATGTCAGTGTCAAGTGTTATCAATATCGTAATTATGTCAGTGTCCAATGTTATCATTGTCATATACATTTCAATGCCTGAGACTGAGACTGATGTCTCATGTTGATGGGTCCTGGTTTAGGTAAACGCAGCAGTTGCACTGTTTGACAACGGACAGAAACCTTCAGATCCGCAGTTTCCTTTGGCTTCTGGTGCCACAACAGTACAGGAAGTCTTCAGTGTAAGTATCTCTCCGGTTATACAATCCTCATTGTGTGTGTGTGTGTGTTCCTGTTTACATGTGTGTGTGGTGCATGTATGTGTGTGTTTGTGAGAGGGAGAGAGTACATATATGTGTCTGTGAACATGTGTGTGTGTGCATGTTTGAATGTGATGTGTGTGTACATGTGTGTGTGTGTGTCCATATGCATTTAAATGATGTACTTGTATGTGTTCATGTTTGTATGTGTGCAGATGAGTGTGTGTGTTTGTGTGTTTATGCTGGCATATGTTGAAACATATTTATGATGTGTGTGTGATTGTTGTTTAACTTCTAATTATTTATGTGAGAACAACTGCTGTGGAGAATGTACAGACTCTTTGCTACCTCTTAAAGAGCTCCAACACACAAGAGGAGAACCACTGCTAGAGAATGCACTGGCTTTATGTTACCTCTGTAAGGGTTGTAACACACAAGAGGAGAACCACTGCTAGAGAATGTACTGGCTTTTTGTTACCTCTGTAAGGGTTGTGACACACAAGAGGAGAACCACTGCTAGAGAATGTACTGGCTTCTGGTTACCTCTGTAAGGGTTGTAACACACAAGAGGAGAACCACGGCTAGAGAATGTACTGGCTTTATGTTACCTCTGTAAGGGTTGTAACACACAAGAGGAGAACCACTGCTAGAGAATGTACTGGCTTTATGTTACCTCTGTAAGGGTTGTAACACACAAGAGGAGAACCACTGCTAGAGAACATACTGGCTTTTTGTTACCTCTGTAAGGGTTGTAACATACAAGAGGAGAACCACTGCTAGAGAATGTACTGGCTTTATGTTACCTCTGTAAGGGTTGTAACACACAAGAGGAGAACCACTGCTAGAGAACATACTGGCTTTTTGTTACCTCTGTAAGGGTTGTAACATACAAGAGGAGAACCACTGCTAGAGAATGTACTGGCTTTTTGTTACCTCTGTAAGGGTTGTAACACACACGATGAGAACCACTGCTAGAGAATGTACTGGCTTTTGTTACGTCTGTAAGGATTATAACACACAAGAGGAGAACCACTGCTAGAGAACGTACTAGCTTTTTGTTACCTCTGTAAGGGTTGTTACACACAAGAGGAGAACCACTGCTAGAGAATGTACTGGCTTCTGGTTACCTCTGTAAGGGTTGTTACTAGGGCTGTACCGAATATTCCCTTCGTATTCGCTTCGGGGCCGAACAGTGGACCTAATAACTATTCGGTATTCGGCCGAATAGTTGCGGTCGGGCCGAATACGAATAGTGGGTACCTTACACCCTTTCCTGGACTGGTAGAAATTAAACATATCAAGATTTCTCACCTTAGTTCATACTGTCAAGCGTTATCTTTGTGCACCACCTACGAGCGAACCAAGTGAACGTCTGTCTGTTTAGTAAAGCTGGAAATACCTTCAGTGAGACAAGAAGCTGCCTTAATGCTGACAACGTGGAACGATTTTGTGTGTGTGGAGAGCTAATGCCGCTTTCATGGATTAATTAAGTTGTCAGTGACAATTTACAAGTTTAGTTACTTGTTATAAAACTAAGAATACTTTCACTCCTATGTATTAGTACCACAGACTGACTGACTGAAGAATGCAAAACATGAAATGTATTTATATGTGTACTATTCTGTACTACATTGTGTGAAGTGAAATGTCTGCCTACATTGTCATTATGGATGTTTTCTTTTTAGGTATATTTTATACACGAAAGTGGAAGAATGGGCCTCATTGTGAATAGTGGGAAGACAGAAGTAATGGTGGTATCAAAGAAAATAATTACTCCTAAATGTGTATTAAAAGTCAATGGTTTTATTTTGGGACAAGTGCGGAAATTTAAGTATCTGGGCACATGGATAACATCAGATGGAAGATGCATAACTGAAATAAGAAACAGAATGGGACAGGCAAAAACTTCATTTTATAAAATGAAGAACATCTTATGCAATATATCGTTGTCATTGAAGGTTAGAAAAAGAATTCTTGCTTGCTACATACATCCAGTGTTAACATCTGGCTGTATGTCCTGGACAATCGGTAGGCAGGCCAAACAATTTCTTGAAACCTCAGAGATGTGGTATTACAGAATAATGGTTAAAATACCCTGGATAGTGAACGAACATCGAACTGAGGCGAGCGGTGCTTACTACAAGAAGGCTGGTAAACCAGCATTGAACTGGGTTGAGCAGTGCTCACTACAAGAAGACTGGTGAACGAACATCGAACCAAGGCGAGCGGTGCTTACTACAAGAAGGCTGGTAAACCAGCATTGTACTGGGTTGAGCAGTGCTCACTACAAGAAGACTAGTGAACCAGCAATACACTGGAGCGAGCAGTGCTTACTACATGAAGACTGGTGAATGGACATCAAACTAGGGCGAGCGGTGCTTACTACAAGAAGACTAGTGAACGAACATCAAACTAGGGCGAGCAGTGCTCACTACAAGAAGACTAGTGAACGAACATCGAATTAGGGCGAGTGGTGCTCGGAAATGTGGTATTACATAACAATGCTTAAAAAACCTTGGACAGAAAAAAAAAAAGCAACCAAAAAGTTTTGAAAGAGGCAGGAGCCCGATGACAAATACTCACAGACATCAGAAGGAGACAGTCATCATTTTTCGGCCATATTATAAGATGAGGGAAAATGGAACATGTGGTGACCACTGGAAAGATCTGTGGAAGGAGGGATAGAGGAAGAAAAGATTCTTGACAGTCTTGTTGCATGGCATGGAGGTGTGTCAGCACACGAACTAATACATGCTGCAGGAGATCGCAGATTGTGGCGAGGCGTAGTCGCCCATTACAGTCGGCACAGCACCTGATGATGATGATTCACTATTCGTATTCGGCCGAATAGTTGGTCCAGCTATTTGTATTCGGCCGAATAGTGAAAATCACTATTCGGTACAGCCCTAGTTGTTACACACAAGAAGAGAACCACTGCTTTAGTAAATGTACTGGCTTTTTGTTACCTCTGTAAGGGTTGTACCACACAAGAGGAGAACCACTGCTAGAGAATGTACTGGCTTCTGGTTACCTCTGTAAAGGTTGTAACACACAAGAGGAGAACCACTGCTAGAGAATGTACTGGCTTCTGGTTACCTTTGTAAGGGTTGTAACACACAAGAGGAGAACCACTGCTTTAGTAAATGTACTGGCTTTTTGTTACCTCTGTAAGGGTTGTACCACACAAGAGGAGAACCACTGCTAGAGAATGTACTGGCTTCTGGTTACCTCTGTAAGAGTTGTAACACACAAGAGGAGAACCACTGCTAAAGAATGTACTGTACTGACTTCTGGTTACCTCTGTAAGGGTTGTAACACACAAGAGGAGAACCACTGCCAGAGAATGTACTGGCTTTTTGTTACCTCTGTAAGGGTTGTACCACACAAGAGGAGAACCACTGCTAGAAAATGTACTGGCTTTATGTTACCTCTGTAAGGGTTGTAACACACAAGAGGAGAACCACTGCTAGAGAATGTACTGGCTTTTTGTTACCTCTGTAAGGGTTGTAACACACAAGAGGAGAACAACTGCTAGAGAATGTACTGGCTTCTGGTTACCTCTGTAAGGGTTGAAACACACAAGAGGGGAACCACTGCTAGAGAATGTACTGGCTTCTGGTTACCTCTGTAAGAGTTGAAACACACAAGAGGGGAACCACTGCTAGAGAATGTACTGGCTTCTGGTTACCTCTGTAAGGGTTGTAACATACAAGAGGGGAAGAACTGCTAGAGAATGTACTGGCTTCTGGTTACCTCTGTAAGGGTTGTAACACACAAGAGGGGAACCACTGCTAGAGAATGTACTGGCTTCTGGTTACCTCTGTAAGAGTTGAAACACACAAGAGGGGAACCACTGCTAGAGAATGTACTGTACTGACTTCTGGTTACCTCTGTAAGAGTTGAAACACACAAGAGGGGAACCACTGCTAGAGAATGTACTGGCTTCTGGTTACCTTTAAAGATAGTAGCACAAAGTTTAAGAACCTCTGCCTGTAGAAAATATGAACTGATTTCTTTTTGGCATGTTTTCAGGGAAATGGAATCATCGTCATCACGGATGTGGAAACTCCGTACCCACCAAGTCGATATGGTAAGTTGGAGATGTCTGTGTTGTCCATTGCCAGATTTCAGATGTCTGTGTTGTCCATTACCAGGCTTTAGATGTCTGTGTTGTCCATTACCAGGTTTCAGATGTCTGTGTTGTCCATTACCAGGTTTCAGATGTCTGTGTTGTCCATTACCAGGTTTCAGATGTCTGTGTTGTCCATTACCAGGCTTTAGATGTCTGTGTTGTCCATTACCAGGTTTCAGATGTCTGTGTTGTCCATTGCTGGTTTCAGATGCCTGAGTTATCCAATGCCTGGTTTCAGATGCCTGTGTTGTCCATTGCCAGGTTTCAGATGTCTGTGTTGTCCATTGCCAGGTTTCAGTGTAAACACTTACTGGTTGATGCTGGACTGATAAAATAACTAGACGTATCAGGGAAGTTCAAATGGAATCCTTGAAAGTGTGTTATTATTACAGTAACCATACCATTGATTTGTAACCTGTCAGTTGTGTTGTTGAGAATGTCAAGAGTGTTAAGCATGTGACATCACAGTGCACATAAAAGCATTGACTTCATAATGACAGTTTAAAGATGGTCGTCCTACTGATATTCTGTTTATAAATGGTATTCTGTTTATGACTGATATTCTGTTTATGACTGATATTCTGTTTATGACTGGTATTTTGTTTATGACTGTTATCTGTTTATAACTTGCATGTCCTTACCCACACAGGACTGCAGGTTACAGTGGGATGGTGTAGCCGTTGCCCTAATGATAACTTCTTTAAAGGTTGAACGAGGTATCAGAGATCTGCCTTGTTGGTTTGCCATTCAAATTGAGATTTATAAATATCTGGATTGTAATAGTAAACATTAAGGTAGCAGCCCAGAAGAGACAAACTGATCAATTGATTTGTGACAGGCATTTAGTTTATGACTGCTATCATGTTAACAATTGGTTTGGCAGTCATTCTTGGTACAGAAACTAGGATGGATCACATTTAGTTTACAACTGCAGTCATGTTAACAATTGGTTTGGCAGTCATTCTTGGTACAGAAACTAGGATGGATCACATTTAGTTTATGACTGCTATCATGTTAACAATTGGTTTGGCAGTCATTCTTGGTACAGAAACTAGAATGGATCACATTTAGTTTACAACTGCTATCATGTTAACAATTGGTTTGAGAGTCATTCCTGCTACAGAAACTAGGATGGATCACATTTAGTTTACAACTGCTATCATGTTAACAATTGGTTTGGCAGTCATTCTTGGTACAGAAACCAGGATAGATCACATTTAGTTTACAACTGCTATCATGTTAACAATTGGTTTGGCAGTCATTCTTGGTACAGAAACTAGGAAGGATCACATTTTGTTTATAACTACTGTCATGTTAACAATTGGTTTGGCAGTCATTCTTGGTACAAAAACTAGGAAGGATCACATTTAGTTTATGACTGCTTTCACGTTAACAATTGGTTTGGCAGTCATTCTTGGTACAGAAACTAGGATGGATCACATTTAGTTTATGACTGCTCTCAAGTTAACAATTGGTTTGGCAGTCATTCTTGGTACAGAAACTAGGAAGGATCACATTTAGTTTATGACTGCTATCATGTTAACAATTGGTTTGGCAGTCATTCTTGGTACAGAAACTAGAATGGATCACATTTAGTTTACAACTGCTATCATGTTAACATTTGGTTTGACAGTCATTCCTGCTACAGAAACTAGGATGGATCACATTTAGTTTATAACTGGCGATCATGTTAACAATTGGTTTGGCAGTCATTCTTGGTACAGAAATCAGGATAGATCACATTTAGTTTACAACTGCTATCATGTTAACAAATGGTTTGGCAGTCATTCTTGGTACAGAAACTAGGAAGGATTACATTTTGTTTATAACTGCTGTCATGTTAACAACTTATTTGACAGTCATTCTTGGTACAGAAACTAAGATGGATCACATTTAGTTTGTTGACATATTTGGACTGCATTCTGTTTTCTTTTGTATTTCTCGTTAAAAGGATGGTTAGCGTGTTGTATTGTGGTTTACAGCAAGGCTGTGATATTTACACCTTTCAGCTCAAGACATCTGATTTCTCCAGAACCTTGATTAGTCACTTTTTTTTCAACATGATAGTTATGGGCAGTTAATCTATTTTAATTTTTGTTAACTCAACAAATTGTGTTTACGGAACTCCATGGACAGTTACATTCTGCAAACTGCAGCATTTTAACCAAGCATTTTTTTCTGTGATAAAGATTTTAGCTGCAACATTGGCTTTTATTTGTACATACCTTCCTTTTTTTGAAAGTTGTTAGTCTCATTGTGTGCTGATTTGTTCTTGTCATGGCTTGTAAATATGATGCCGTTGATTTCCATTGCCCAGCTATTGAGCTGAGTGCATGGCATGACACTGTGAGCTGTGGATTGCTTTTAAAATTCTTTTCACCTGTGCCAGAGTGGTTTTTGTTTTGTTTATTACGGACTTATTACGGCTAGTTGTCTTGCCACGAAATTGGTGGTTTCTTATGTAATTAATTGCCTGTACAAATACTGATATGTTTAACTGCTTTCAAAGAAAGTGAAATGCATCTCTAGTGCATGTCTGTTTGTGTTGTCACTTCTGTCAGCTGCCTTGTTGATTTGATGAGTGTATATGCTACTGGCTTTACTGAGAATGCAGTCTGCATCAGTTTGTTTTTACAAGAGACAGGGGTGGACATTCTATGGCTTTTGTTGCTTCAGGAATGGATAAATTATTTGGTGACTCATTTGCTATGATGTTGAAACTTCACTTAGCTGATTCAGTAACTTGATGTTCCAACTGGCATGTTTGTGTCATAGATGTGGTCATCAGCTGTACCACTGTCCCTTAGTTGATATTTTTATCCTCAAAGTTTTCTTAGTAAGCCATGTCGAGTTAGTAGCTAGACACCCCCTGAGTCTAAGGTTTGAATCTACACTGGGCAGATCTTTGGTTTACAGGTAACCCAGTCTTAAGTGAGTGCCAGGAAATGTCTTAGGAAATAAATGTTTCCAGCCTGATGTTGCTGACTTCCCGCATCCTTCATCTCACTGTCACTCATCATCATGCTCATAAAGCAGGTCCTTTGCAGAAGGCCGCTGTCATCACGGTCTGCCTGAAAGAAAAAAACTCAGTCTCTCAACATCTCTCCTGCCTCGTGCACTGTCATATTCAAGGAATCACTTATATCCTGTGCCCATCTTCATTCTGGTTGACCCCTGCCTCTCTTTTCTAGTACTGTGCCTTCTGCTATTATTTGTCCAGTCTGCTATGGTGCTTGATAGGACCAAAATGTTCTTACTTCCAAAACTAGATGCTGTTTATTAGTCAGTTCTTGACATACAGATCTTTAAAAATGTTAGTATTTATTTTCTTCTTTGTCTATGGTATTCTGAGAATCTTTCTATAGTGCTACTGTAACTACTATCTGTAATTACCATTTAGGGTGTGCTGGTGGAAATTGTTAATTTTGTGGCCAACCTTTACTGGGGAGATGGTACAGAACTTTCTTTCTTTCACTCATATTCTATTACCAGTCAACAGTCAGTATACCCATGATCAGGGAAGTTGATTTTGCTAGAAATTATAGTTCTCCGGGATTTGTAGTATTTCCTGTTGCCCACTATGATGCTTCTAAGCTTACTCTGGAACTGGAGACTCCAGATGTAGCACCCAAACCTGCAGAGAGGCTAAGACTGGTCTTCCCTAATGTCTGACTATGGGGGGATTCTCTCACAGGGTACGGTCATTCGTTGGTAATGACTGAATTGTCACCATGGCTTTCGTTTATTGATCTCACATTGGGCAGTAAATGGTGTACTGGTGTTCTCATAACATCATGATTTTCACTGCATTCTTGTTCTAATCCATGCTGTGACAATGTATAGTCTACATCTCCATCTAGTCTATGCTATGATAATGTATAGTCTACATCTCCATCTAGTCTATGCTATGATAATGTATAGTCTACATCTCGATCTAGTCCATGCTATGAAAATGTATAGACTTCATCTCCATCTACTCTATGCTATGATAATGTATAGTCTACATCCCCATCTAGTCCATACTGTACTAATGTATAGTCTACATCTCCATCTAGCCCGTACTGTGATACTGTATAGTCTACATCTCCATCTACCCCATGCTATGATAATATATAGTCTTCATCCCCATCTAGCTCAAGCTGTGATACCTGCATCTCCATCTAGATCATGCTATTATACTGTATAGTCTACTTCTCCATCTAGCCCAAGCTGTGATAATGTATAGTCGACATCTCTATCTAGATCATGCTGTGATAAAGTATAGTCTAAATCTCCATCTAGTCTATGCTATGATAATGTATAGTCTACATCCCCATCTAACCCGAGCTGTGATAATATATAGTCTACATCCCCATCTAGCCAATGCTGTGATAAAGTATAGTCTTCCTCCCCATGCTGTGACTGAAAGTAAAAGTTGCACATGCTTATAAGGGTATGGATACGATTTGAATCTGAGATAAATGGATCCTGATTTTCATCCATGTATTCCAGTCTTTTCACTGTGGTTTAATTGAATCCATAACACTTGCTTCTGCAAATCCTGCTCTTATAATTCCCTCCTATCTCTTACATCAACTCTGCTACATCTCAAGTATTTTGTCTCGTTACCGTGGTATTTCTGTGGCTTTCCCATCAGAAATTATCCGAGTGATTTCTGTGCATTCTCCATCCATTATCTATAATTAATTATCAAAGTGTGTTCTGTATTTATAATGATATGAGTGCTTTCTGTGCATTTTCCATCTGTTTTCCCATTATCTGAGTGCTTATGGACGATTACCCATCAATTTCCCATTATCTGATTGCCTTTGTTTTTCTCTATCCCTTATTTGCAGATATATTTCCCTACTACTGTTGTTATCCTATAAACAATTCAGTAGATTTGACAAATGTCTTTCAATGATAGCCAGCTTCTAGCTGGGTGACTGGAAATGCACCAGTTGTGGTGTCAACATCCC